AGTTGTTTAGGAGGAAGGAATGAAGGAAATCTAATACATATCAAATGACAGCAAAGTCTGAAGTATATGATGTTTATCAAGCAAGTTGGCAGATGTGATTTTAACATATGTGTTCCAGCACAATTACATTTTATAAATACAAAATACCTCAAGAATAAGATGCAAACAATGTAAACTACCCTAGCACATACTTAGTCTGAAACATGGTAGTAGAGTTAAGTATGCTTAAATGCTTCCTTAAACTAGCATCTATCATGAGATTTTCTGCTGTTACTAAACATGCCCATGCTTAGATATGGCCATAACATTTATGACATAAATTCCCTTGGAATGCAGACCTTTTAGGTTGGTAGTTACCTCATTTACAAGGCTACCCTATCCTAGACTACTAAATTATGTTGATCTACCCCACTAAGCTAACATCTTCCCAGAATTACTCACATTTCAAAATATAATCTCAATAATCCTTTACCAGCTCCGTTGTCAGATTCTATAATGCATTCTTTCATCTACAACTAGGAGGAGGAAGTTCCAAAGCAAACAAACACGCAGTGCTTCTTCATAACACGTGTTAAGGGACTCCTACAAAATAATGTAGATGCTCAAAGTTTACAGGGCTCAGAGGAAGAACATACGAGTTTACAGAATAGAAATCCACTATTGGTTACTAAATACAAAGAAACTATGCCTGGCTGAATACATCTCTAGAATGGCTGAACATCGCAGGATAATTCAGCAGAAATATGATACATGATTTACTTGTTCTTACTCACTTCCTTAGGCATTCTGTTTTGGCTAGAGCTGAGGACAGGTGACAGTTGGAAGGGGGTACAGCCCACCTCTCTGCTGGATGAGTCCCGGGACTCAGTCCGTGGGCTCAGATCTTCCATCCCTTCCTCAGGAGATACTGTAATGTGAGCAGCACTTTGCTCCCTGCTGTGAGGAAGTAGTCAGGAACAGGTCAACAAAATGTAAAATACTAAAGATTAAAGTTGATCATTCCTGTTTTAGTCTGTTGGCCAAATTTGAGCAAAAAATCTTTCAGTATTTTCTAATTCTCTTCTTTCAGAAGAAAAACCACCATTATTTTTTTCAGTAATTTCACCCAAAACTAACTCCACATGAAGTTTTAGAATAATGCATTGTTATGGTTTTTTTCACTGTCATAATAAAAAAATAAAATGTTGATGGCATTCAAAAAAATCAAAACTGCTTTGCTGACCAGCAATCTATACACCTCATAATATTTTTAGTGAAGACATCAACCAGAAATGATTGAATCTGTGAGGATCACTCTTCTGTTTCTTTCAAATTCCTCCTATCAGAAGTAGAAGCAAGGAGAAATTCCAGAAAAGTTTTCCTCATAAGTCTTCCAACTGATTCTGCAAATTCAGCTGAATAACAGATTTCTGTGCACTTCTCTGACCAGATCCTCCTAATGATTCCTAACATGGTATGAGAATAAAATTAGAAAAGAGGTGGGGTGGACACGATTCAAGGAATGAAGAAACTTGACATATCTGTAGATATCATTTAATACTTTGCAAGCAGCCAAGTATTTATTTTCATCTTGTAGGTGGAAATTCTAAGATGCTGAATCTTGAAATGGATTATAATTGTGTCGACTGAAATTTCATTCAACAAGACTTGGCAATCAATTCCAGCACTTATCATCCATAAGAAATTATTTAGTTTCAGAATAACACAAAGGACACAGTTACTTGGAAACATGGAAGCATGCTTTCAGTCTCCAGAATGGAAGGCAAATTTTAACATTTTAAGAAATCTACAACATTGTTTAGATTGAAGGCAATAATTCTGCTTCCTCTCTTTATTCTAAGAAACGCAGTAGTTTCCTTAAAATGCTGAGAATTGCCTTTCATTACCCAAATTGAAAACCTGTTTATGTAGTTTTAGCTTGGTGGGATTACCATCAAGGTGCACAGATCCCACATACTGCTCAAGGTTCAGGGTCATCCTCAGTGTCTTTTTTTGTTTGTTTGTTTTTTAAGTACAATGCGAGAAAAATCAAGCCACTCTGAGGTTTGGAAGCCAGCCCATCTTTATATCATTTTTCATATTCATTTTCCTGTGGATTAAATCAATCCTCCCACTATCCATAAGAGACTACTGGGATCTTTCCTGTGAAACCCCTTCTTTTCCTCTACTGTACTTCCCCACGATGATCTCATTCTCCACTCATATATCTTCACATTCCATCTGTAGGCTGATAACTCATCAGTTTACCCCTTCTTTCATGTCTTGTCTCATTTCATCTCATCCCAGCTCATGTCTCTTCTCTGGTGTTTAGTTGTCAGTTATATTATAACCCAAGCTTAATACACATCTTAAATTCTCTTCCTTCCGCACGTAAAACTTTATTGTTTAATATATGATACCAAGGTCCAACTGCTGCCCCACAGAAAAAGGGGAAACAAAATCATTTATCTTCTTGAACATTAGGAAGAAAAGCAAACTTTTAGACCACAAGTTCTGGAACTTGCAACATGAAGGCAGTCAGTTAATTTTTTTTTTCCTTCTTCCCCAGCATCCTCATCATATTTGGATTTTACAACTGATATTTAAGAAATGTTGTTACTTTTGCTTTGCTCGAGCCTGGGCTGCATGACAGGTACAAAGATGTCATTTTGAAATCCAAACGTCATCGTCAACAGCAACCAGACATTACTGTCACCATTCAACACTGAATCAATTTTAAAAAAATAGCCAATACTCCAGCACTTTTTGAAACCATCGCCCTGGTTACAAGATGTAGCAAATAGGAATGAAAGACCTGGCTTACACAATTAACTGGAATAATCTTGCATCACGTCCTGTATTAATACTTCTTTTACTAATACTTCCTACACTCCATATAGTGTGTCTTGGAATGAGATATACTAGGGCTTTAACAATGAAGCTTTCCACTCTGGAAAGTTCCACTTAAAATGCCATCATCTTCTAGAAATACTGTGTTAATAAACTGATAGAACTACTCCTCTGAAAACTAAAATGAATAAAAATTTCTTGAATATAACAACGCTCGTGAGTAGCTATATTATAACTGCAATTTATGTAGAAAATAGGATACTGGGACACTGTTAGAAGTAAAAAAAAGTTTTGCAGTTAAGTTTTATGTGCAATTTTTTCCTCAAAGAAGGAAAAAAAAATCCTTTCTAAAGTAGCTTGTTACTCACTGTTATCCAAATGACATATAGTTTGAGATTTCTAAAAGGAAAATCTGACTTTTAGATTTTTCTTATTCTGAGGGAATCAGATGTACTAAAATGATCACAATGTGATATTCAACGTCAAGTTTATTTTCCCCATGATTATGAGTTTTTGAACTAAGTAAGGTCTGTAATTCACATCCAAAATACAGGATATTTGATTTGACCACCAATTTTTCTCCTTTGGCTACAAAACTATTTCTTAATTTCAGGTTACAGAATATTCTCAGATACTATTCTTCTTACCTATTGTGAACAGAATTTGGATAAGGCTCATTTGTCCTGTCTTACAGCATGAACTCTTCTCAATGAAACGTGTAACTGAGTAGTTAAACACCTTAAAAGTTAAAATGATTTAGATACAATTAATCTTTCTTATAGGAAAATAACATCACTCCTGAAAGTTGAAGAGAAAAATTTTCCAATTCTACATTGCCAGCTTCTGACAGCAGATACCTGTTCTTTTCTTCTGGCTCCAAAATCATATTTTGGGGATATTTCTGAAGGCCAGTGATCTGGCTCAAGGTCCAGAAACACTGGGAAGAAAACCAGGATTTTTTGTTGCTACCACTGCATTTTAAATGATGCTACTAGCAACTGTGTGCTTTGAAAGACCAAAAATCAAACCAAACCAAACCAAAAAAAAAAACCAAGCAGCCAGTAAAGAAAAAATAGATAAATGAGAATGCTACACTATCATTCACTGATCTCACCTCTTACATCTGTACTATGTGTAGCAAAATCAGGTGCTTCAATTCTGCACGCAAAGCATCTGAGGTTCAGTCAGATGAAGTAAACTGTACAATGTCAAACCAGCAGTTTAATAGCAAAATTCAAGAGAGTAATCAATATACTGTCTACCAACACACTGCCAAAACCACTGGAATGCACAAATAATAAAACATAAATTTGAATAATATCTGAAAGCTGGTAGTGTATAGTTTAGGAAGAAAATATTTAGAGTGACTTTGTTGTTTACTTGTATTTACTTTTCAGACAGTCGTATATGGTATAACATTTAACAAGGGTGATTTTGTGCATAATGCAAAATACAGCTGTCAATATAGGCCCTTTGGAGGTACCTGTGCTTCTGCTGGTGTATATATATATTTATTTTTTAGCTTAAAATATGTGATTATGAACAACAGTTTGCAATGTTTGTTTTATAATCATTTAATTATTATAATGAGATAAAGAAAGACTGTAATGATTATAATACTAAAACATTTTCTTAGAATGCACATTGTATTGACGCATTCTGCTAACACTCTTACCTTTATGCTTGTTAGCAATCCAATTTGCTTCACTAAATTAATCAGTTATAAATAAATAAAAAATGTAAAAACAGTATCACTACACTATTATTGTAATACAAAAATGTATGTGATTACATGCTGTTAAGTCATTAGTTTTCACATCTAAGGCAGACCTGTCATCACTTGCTCACAAGAAGCTTTGAAAAACAATCACACAATCTTTCTCCTTGTTTCAGTGAAGTACAGACTAAACAGACACCTATATAATTTTCCCTTTACATCAGTAAAAGAAAGATCTATTTTCCTAAATCTATAAATCTACAACCTTGCTCTAAACCATCCTTGCTATCCAACTAAAAGTCCAGTTTCTACAGTGGAAGAACTGCAAATGCCAAACTTTTTTTCAACTGTGTTTAAGATGTTCATACTATTTAAATCTTAACAAAATCTTTGGAGTATACAAGACCTTCTCTCACCTCTAAGCACTCAAGTTTTACTCTCATGGTAGCCTCACCTCTGGCTTACTCAGATCCCAGGATGTAATTCAGTTCTCCTGAATCAATGGGAGTTTGACAGTGCCTTCTTCAGATGTTGCCTTTTCACTTTTCTCCAGTGGAAGTCAGGAAAGAGCCAACTTTATCCTCAGCTCCTTAGATAGCTGTGAGTGCTCCGGGTAGTAATAAGGTAAAATCTGACTTAGCTAACAGGTAAGATAGAATATCCAGCAGCCTGGATATATATTGAACTTTAAGCTGCAACTCCTACACAGTACCTGTTCAATCACAGCTTCATCTGTTAATTGCAGTTTTAATGATTCTTGTGACTTTTTCATTTATTTTATGTTGTTTTATCACCTTTTGTGAGTTAATACAAATATTTACCTCAAGCCTGTAAGGTACTCTGCAGTTTACATCATGCAACAACTACTGGTATACATAATGAAATCAAATACCTGAACAACTTGCAGATCAGTCTCTAGTGTCTTCTTCTTGTTTCTTGAGTTCATTTTGCCAGGCTACTACATCATCTTTTTCCAGGCAGCCTGAGACAGATAAAGTGTAACAGCAGAAGAAAAAGCTGAGTACAAATTTCGTTAGAAAATGCAGAATAAACACACCAAAAGCCAAAACATCATAAAATAAACATTTAAGTACTGTTACCCCCTACAGCCTGTTTTACTGATAAATATGACATATCATGCAGAGCAGATAAACAAGAAACAGTAAACAAGCCATGTAATTTCATAGAAGATGATGGGAAATATTTCCACTGTTCCTTTAAGCAGTGGTTTTGAAGTTTTTGAACTGAGCTGCACTCAAGACTATTGACAGTGCTTGATGCATTGCTCAATTTAGATATTCTTTGCCCCCTCCATCATTCTCATTTTTTTTAGTTGAACCAGAAAAGCACATTAGCTCAAGTGTAATGTCTCCCTTATCGTATACAGACACCTCACTGCCTTAAGACTGATGACCCAGAGTATATACACACAAGAGCAAAATTACTCTTGAAACCTAATGAAAACTTTCCCCTATTCAGGAACTGGGAGATTCAGAAACCATTTGCAGCATGCTAAGGCATCTGCCATACATACCAGCATAAACTTGCTCTGAGTAGACTGCTCTGCCAGTTCATACAAGCAGAGAATTAGGTCAATGCATGTGTAACAAACCACCTCTGTGAAATATCTTTATCAGAGTAAACACCAGAGATAGTCCTTTTCTCTCCAGGACACTGAGAAGTCTTTTTTTGTGAAAGCATCAGATCACTGATATTACCATAAAGATCATTCACTACACACTCAAATACTGGAATTTCACATAGATCTGGATAAAAATTAACTACATAGAGTTATTGCTGACATGGCTTACTCAATTTTAGATTCACATTCATCTGAAAAAAATAGCAGTCCACGTGATCTGAGTATTAAAATCCCTTATATCCTATATACTACAAGTACATAATTTAAATATATATATATATACACATATATATATATATACATAGTGTAAATTGCAACTAGTAGCTGTGTATAATACTTAGTTTTTCAATCACTGAAAGCAAGCTGCCCTATCAACTAGCACTGCAAGGGGCCTAACAAGCATACGTGTAACACCCTACCAACTGCTGCTGCTGCAGGTCTCTGCCTCACCTGGTTACAGCAGATTGCAGACCAAAGTCTGAGGTGCTCAAAGGTCTCACAGCAGCATGCAGGTCTCATTCAAATCCAGTTCCAGTAGCAAATGACTAACGTGTTAGATCTCGGTTTGAATCACTTCTATCTGCTTAGTTTTGTCTTAACGGTAACATCAGAATCTGCACAGGGTTCTAAAATACATCTACTGTGCAGGTAAAGGACTCCTGATACAAGTATTCTTTCATTAATACTGGTAAGTTTTAATCTCTCATGAATAGTGATTCAAGCTTTTTCAAAACTTGGGGCTCTATGATTTTAGGAGATGTCATCTTCCGTAACAACAATTAATGAAGATTTTGGAGCCCTCTGAGGACTCCTGAGGCTGACCATCCAAAATCACTAATTATTTTCCAATCTGAAGGCTAGACACCTCAGTGAAAAGTTCTGGAGCGGACACTATTTGGAAGAGATCAGACGATTTACACATCAATTACATCCCACAGAGTTCAAAACCACATCCTTTCCTGGTAGCCAAATTCGGCCATTAGCAACAAGTACATAATCTCAATAAAGTAAACTGTAGGGCTAGAGCAGTAAAGGATAGATAATGAAAACTCTCTGCACTGAGTAACTGCAGGGAGTCTCAACTGAAGATCTAATAATTGGTCTTATCTCTATCAAGGTGCAACAGAATAAGCTGATAAGTGCAAGAATGTCTGACAAGGCCCTAGGGCTCTTTACAGCTTGCAGTGAAGCTTCATTATTGTGAAGAATTTTAAGGATCATCTCATATGGAGAGAACAAGAGGAATTTCTTTTTCCTGCCATTCTGTTGATGTGGATATATGCAAGGTGCACTTACGTAGGTAAGACACGCTTCTCCCTTCATACAAGCCACAGTAATGCTGAAGTTTCACTGTTGGGTTCTCCTTTACATGTCTTCTCAGGCATGCAAGCAGCAGGTGAATGAAGAATGGCCCCTGGTTGAGTTGAAGGTCTGCTGTCTCGTGGTGCAGGAGCCCAAAGGAAAACTCACTTCAAAAAGAGAACTCCTCCTTGAAGTTCCTACATTTCCATCTGCTCTGACCAAGTCTTATTCAGGACACATTCATATATTCCTGCAAGTGTTTAGATTAAGAGATTTATTGGTGCTTATAAAGATCACAATAGTAGCTAACACTTCACCTTTCAAATTGAAGGAAACATTTTGCACAGTGGGAAAAGAAATGGTCCTTCTTTCCCTAAGCTTTAACATAAGCTGAATACTACAGGTAGGAATGCAGGCACATACTTTGTGTCTTTCTGTGTATGATGCCTAAGTGTCTGAGCATCAGCTTTATGAAACTCTTCCTCCAAAACCACAGCAGTTTCTCTCTGAAGTACGCAAATGATATGGTGCCATGACAAACAGAAGTCCATTTTGCACCACTATTATCAAAAGATCCTTGTCTTCCAAAAGAGTTTCAGTGCATTTAGTTTGCAAACAGTTGTGCTCTGTTCTGATCCAGACCTTCATAAGATACTTTGCTTTTTAATAAAAATGGCAGGGAGACTGCCACAGAAGAACCAGAGCAGTAAAACTGTGGGACTTAAACTGGCCACACCTGAATAACAGCTCAGTTAGCTTATGGTGAGATGAAGCTACCACATCATCTGTTACCTATTCAAAGCATCAGTTCCTTTAGGGTAAGCTACAATCAAGGTATACGAAGACATTTAAACAAGCAGGCTGTAGCTGACTGAAACCACACTCCACAAGGCAACAGAGTGGAGACTATGAGATGGCCGTACAATATAAAGGATGCATTAAGATCATGTTTATGTTTTGCCATGAGTTCAGGCACGTTGAACTCACAGCCCATGGGCCACATGCAGCCCAGCACAGCTCACAGTGCAGCCTGCTCCCTGCCCAGCACCATCACTGTAGCAGCTCTTCCCCACCAAGCCAAACATCAGGGCACAATGAACCCTATCTGGACTGAAACCAGGGCATGGGGGGCAATGCAGAGCGAGCTCAAATTATGGCAAATGAGTTGCTGCACTTTGATACACGGCTGAACACAGTCCTGTGAACAGTAAAAAAATCCAAAGTAGTGCTTTTCATTTTGATAAAAAAAACTGAGGTTTCAAGATTGCTGGAAAAAAATCATCCATTTTTAAATTTGCAACTCAATTTTCATTCAACATAAATACATTATTTGTGAATTTTCAGACGGAATGCATAAAGTTGCAATTAAAAACTGGATCATGTCTCTTTACCAGACTTTTATACAATCTCTCTTACCAGAGAGAAACATCCCTCACTACACTGTTACGCCTTATTCATGCCATCACTTTTTGACAGTATGTATACATTTGTGAACAAAAGTTTTGAAGGATGAAGCATGGGAAGAGTAAAAATCTCTACTGAACACCTTGAGAACTAACTAAGAATTATAGCCACTGCCATTGAAAGAAACTGATGCATTGGTTTCACATAACCAAGGTCAAATATCCCTCTAGTTTTATGTTTTTATTTCTCTCTTTTTTTATATGTTTTAATAAAAAACATTAAAGAATAAAATGTTTTGTTATTTTTGATATACATTAACCATATTATATATCTAATGAGGGCTGCTCTGAAAGTAATGCCTCCTCTTTTATTATACTGGCCCACAACATTGGAGACAGATGTTGGTGTATGGCAGCAGAGGTTGGCCCATCCTGACAATATTCTATTACATTTTGTTGCCGTGTGACAGATGGCAACAGAGGGGCCATCTGACAAAATGGCATCTGAAACAAAGGTGTGAAAATGAATTCCTTCACACAGAAGAAAATGGTACCCACTGACATTCATTGATGCTTGCTGAACATTTGTGGAGACCAAACAGTGGATGTGAGCACAGTGAGGTGGTAGGTAGTGCATTTCAGCAGTGACAACAGTAGGTAACCTCCACTAGAACAGAATTTTACAAGCACGGCGTTCAAGCTCTTGTTCATCACTGGCAAAAATGCATAACTAATCATGGTAACTATGTTGAAAAGTAATGTTTTGTAGCTGAGAACTTGCTCAATCACAGTTATTGTGCTCTTTGTAACTGTTGATGTTTCCATGGAAATAAAGAGGAGGCATTACTTTTGGAGTAACCTAAGTAAATCCTTTGTACTTACATATAATTCCTCTTCACTCAGGGTCACACTTGCAGCCCAGGCAAGGCAAAAGGCTGGATACTCATGTAGAATCTAGTTCAGAAAATAACAGTAAGCTTTGTTTATGAGGATTATATATCTCTACAGGTAAAATGTACTTCATTGTCCTTCTATTTTAGTTCTACTTTAACTGCTTCTTCCTTCTCTGTCAATGTTTTGCTGAACAAGCAGGACAAATGCTTTAGCACTGAATCTCAACTGCAATATCCTATGAGGCAATTAAGCAAGCTTTCCACAAATAGCAATTCTTGATTTACAGGTCATCTGTTCAGTTATTTGGAGGAATAGGAATGTTTCAGAAAATCCTTCATATAGCTGTTTTCAAACCAACTATAGCATGGGTTTCTTGTAGAGTTAAAACATATTGACTGTAGCTGGGTCAAGTGAATGGTTATGCCACATGGTATTGCTTTCAAGTTTATTGATGCTCTCACACAGTTCTAAGCCTTTTTTTTGTGTGTGTGTGTTTTCTGATAGAGACAAAAGAGACAGCGTTGGAAGAGATGCTAATGGGAGGTTTGGGTTACCCTACAACTTCCTTTCTCAAGCTGATGAAAGATTTTATCATTCTTACTTTGTGACTAAGTTTTATTAGTTGAGACTATAGTCAAAACTTTGAAGTCTAACTTAAATCACCCCAATATCAACCAACAAAGCAAAATGAGAGCTGCATTTACACAACCTACAAGAAATTATTACTGGCAGGCCATAGCACACAGACAAACATGAATGTCTTAGTGTCATGTCTTGTAAAAACACAGCCTCTAGCACAAACCTAGTAGCTTTCAAAACCCAACAGTTGCACAGTACCACTTTCATTGATCCTGGATGAGGAAATCCACATGAAATAACATTTAAATTGAAAATCTGACCCATAAAGTCAGATGACTCCAGAGATCTGCTCTCTGCCAAATGCAACTTGTCCAAGTCTGCCATCATTCGTCCCATCTGTCCTTCCAGTTACACGGTACCAAAAACTTTGTGCCAATAAACCACATAGGAGCTTGCTTCAGGAAGAGCTCCAGCACTGCATGCAGAGAGGGCAGATGGGGTTTGCAGCATGCCACAGCATGACCATCCTGGGCAAACCATAGCATACAGAACAGACTGAAATGTAGCCAATGGTCTCCAATCCGTAAAGTGGACTAACGGCACTGTCCTGTCTCACACAGCTCTTTAAGCCCTCGACATGAGGAAGGCTGTGAAAAACTCACATGCTACAGGAACAACAATCAGAAGATACAAGCAGTCTTCATTTCTGCTGAATGCAAATAGCATTACCATTTGGAAAAGACAAACTTACCATTTAGAACCTTAACAAAGGATTACGACCTGACTGGAGACCTTCAAGTTAGAAGATGTACCTTACAATAACCCAATTCATCCAATAAGCACACACAGTTCAGTGAGCCTGTTTATATTAAATCCATATTGCTATCTTTATTTCCATGTTTGAGATGGCCACAGAGAAAGCAAGCTAGCAAAAATCACTCAAATCACTTAGCCGCATAAAATGTCTGTGTTGCTCCGGCATGCTCCACCAAGAAATTAGTTCACAATGTTTTGCCTTGAAGGTTACATTTGTTGCTCACAAGCACGGAAAGCAGAGCTAAGGACAAAACATCTGTATTCTAAATCCAGCAGTCTGAGGCATGGAATAAGAACGTTCATCCTGTCCTAAGAAATAGTGTAAAAGACTGTCCAAAGTAAATAAATAATTTGTAAAATGTTACGCAAAGCATATTTTTCACTTAAACATTTCTCTCTTAATCCTTTAAGGACTAGAATATCATTAGTCTAATTCAAGACTACGTGCTATACTTCCTCCTTCCCCTCAGAACAAGGCCTTACCAATCAACGTGCATTCGTTTTGCAAATCAGCCTCTGCGAGTGGCTTGCTTTCCTCTGCAGCTGTACGCTAGCTTCATGGCAGAGCTGAAGTCAGCTGCTCTAATGCTTGTCACTAAAACATAGACTGTCAATCACTTGCACTACTCACGAGAATTAGCACAACACAAGTCTAATTAGAAACTAAACACTGTATTATCTGCAATGATTTGGAGATGGAGTAAACTGATGCATGTTTTAGGAACCTTTCTTGCTGCACAGTAGTTCATGATAACACCCACCTCACAGCTCATTAGCAAATCAAAATATTACACTGTATAAATACTACTTTGCTCTTTCACGTTTTACAGAAGCCCTGGGTCTCAGAAGCTGCCATTACAGTGTATATGTGATTTAGCTCTATTGGAACATTATAGGAAATGGAAAGCAGCCCAGACCGTCCAAAAACAGCAAAATGGCAGCCAATATACTGTATACTTTGGTTCTCTCTCTATAGAAGTAGTCCCAACCAGCCTCAAGACATTTTAAACCGAAATACATATTGGCAGAACACAAAGAAACTATATACTGTATGACGCTGCACTTGAATTCTCAGTACTTCTGCACTGAATTTATTTCTTTCTCTTGATCTTTTGTGCAGAAAACAACGTAACCCACTATAAATCTAGAGAACACTAACACAAGCTTCAAGTAAAAATACAAAAGCAAGGAGGAAGAAACCAAGCAAAGAACCGAAGTCAAAGATGCAAATGTTTAACAGCAAAAAAAAAAAAAAACAGACATGAAAGGATACACAGCTGTTTTTCTGCATGGTTTCTCAAAATGGGAATTGGAGAGCACAAATGTAGACCATGTTCTCACTTGTAGTTGAGATAAACATTTACAAGCTATTCATTTTAAACAGGAAGACATAACATCAGGACACGACCTTTAATTTTACTGAGGCTGCGAAGGCAAACAACCACAGCTCTGCTGCAATGCAGTTAACATCCAGGAAGAGATGCATAGTATTCCTTGCTTTGTTATTACAGGTGTAGTTGATTTTATATTCAACGAGGAAGGTGCAATTTTATGGCTGTATGGAAAAATCTTTAAAATGCTTGCGGGTGGATGTCTAATGATGCCAGACCGGTGTTGTAAAACATAACACAAAGATAAAGTATTGAAGAAATTGTCTATGTGCCAATGAACAAGCATCTAGGTAAATAATCCTAAACCATACATGCATATATTTGGTGTCATTACACTGTTATTACAGATGTGTACCTTTCTTTTGTTGGCTTAAAAGAGTGCAATTCTGATGCTTTATGATTAGCCTTCTAGCTGGAAGCTGACAGAATTTGAAAGATACTAACAAAAGATAGCAGAAGATTAATTTACAAAGAAAACGTGTGCATTTTGAAAAGTCATAATCTACTTGTAGCTTAAAAGATGAAACAAATTTCTAGCTTGTATAACATTACCTACATACAAATCTAAGCAGGCTTTTTTTTTTTATTTAATGTAGGAAATAAACACAGAAGACATCTCTTCATGTTAATGAACAATATATATTTATGGCATTTTCTTATAAAAACGAAAGTATGCAAAAAGCTAGGTGATGAGTTATGGGGTACTCTTGTACCCCAACTTACCAGTGAGACTTATAGGAAAGGCTGAATGATTTGAAACTTTAGTAAGGCATGTTGGCTTACTAAAGTTCTTAAGTGTTAACTTCAGTTCTCCAATATTGGTGTTTTCAGAGTTACTAGTCATTTCTAAACTCTGGATAGGATAAAACTATTTCCCAATCTATAACTGGCTTCTCATCATTAAGGACCTTAAATAGAACGTCTGATTTAGCTTACTTTTACTTTCCATCAGGAGAGAAACGAGGATCCCTTCAAGATCTTTATTTCAGGCTTCGAACATTTAATTCCACTCCAGGTTGCAAGAGCACACTAAAGCTTTGGAACAAGCAATTGCAAAAGCTTGAGAAGTCTTTTTAAAGAAGTACTAAACACAAAGATGGCTTAGACACATGAACTAACTATACTGAAGAAAAAGGGACTTCCACAATATTTAATAACCTGATAAAATACTGAAGCTTTATTTTCTGTAAGAAAAATACACAGAACTATTTGAGGTTCTAGAATTCTTACATAGGCCAATAGTACAGAAAATTACTTTTACCTGAAAGTCTTCCCATTCTAATATACTTCTACTGACATTTATTTTTCCTCAATAATAAAATGTGCAAAATCAACATTACTTGTAACTCTAGCAAGTATTTGAACACTGAAAATGAGATTGGCTAAAACTCCAGGTTCTACAGTATGCATCAACTCAATGAAAATAAAAATTATCTAGATAAAAATGCATACAGCCGTTTTGCACATGATTTCTGAGCACACTGCAGATTGCAAAGATATCTAGGCATAGTATTATACATTTCTACAGGTCTTCAAGTAAAATTGTGAGAGTACTCAAAAAACATGACTGAGATCTTTCAGAAGCTAGCAGTGTACTGAGTGGTGGTGAAACCAAGGCACAGAGAGATGTGAAGGAAGCCTATGGAAGAGCTGGGAGCCACTCAATCCTACTTATTTAACCACAAAATCAGCTTCCTTGTTCAAAGACAAGCATGGGAGGTATTTCAGAAACATCTTCTGCCTCACTGCTTGGGAGGAAAATAGTTTAAAATCTTATGACGAGAAGAACACATCCAGATGTTACCAGGTTTCATTAACCATCTAATCCTCAAGCACCTTGTCAAGTTTTAGGAACACGTTTAAGAGTACTTGGACCACAACTAATTGAAAGCTTGGATTCAGATTTCTAATTCCAAATAAAACTCAGTTTTATATAATTGCAGGCAGGCTAAATATCCATTGAATTCCAAATGAGGGTCTGAGATAACTGAAATAAACAAGGCTGATATATCCCAGAATCATAGAAGAATTGAGGTTGGGTTGGATAAGGCCTTTGGAAATCATCCAGTCCAACCATATGAATATTTGAACACAGCACATTTCTTTGACCCAAATCTATTAAGGGACAAAACTAAATGAAAGAATCCCAATTTAAAGCAGCACTTGAGTGCTGGAAATCTAACTGTAATAATTATCACAGCACATATAGTTGGTGTTTGTTTATGATTACAAATTCAGGAAAAAGGAGGAAAAAATGATTTTGGGAAATACACA